GCAAGTTACTCAATTTTATATTTAGCACATATTTGCCTTAAAATGCAGTCTAAATAGGCAGCTCACTTGTTTCTGGAAAAACATTATGGACTGACATTTCTAGAGACATTTCCATCAACTTCCAAAAGCTCTCCCAGGTCCTGCCCTAGACTCGCCTTTAAATTATAACCAAAACTGAGGAGCATCTGAAGATCTTATAACTGAAATCACAATTCATCTGAGGATAGACAATGTTAGAAATCAAATTACTAAGAGATGAGTGGAGGTGTCGGGCAAAGAAAATGTCCCGGCATGCCTACACATGCTACACACTGGCATTCTCCATGGGACAAATTCTCACAGGAGGGTTGGCGGTAACAATCATGACACATTGTTGATCTGGAAATATCAGCCAGACAGCAAGGGAAGCTTCAATCCATCTCTCCAGTCATTTAATCACCCTCCTTACAATTTAAATATTGGTTTAGTGACATTAAAGGGGTCATATGACGTTGCTAAAAATAACATTATTTTGTGTATTTGGTGTAATGCAATGTGTTTATGCGGTTTAAGGTTCAAAAAACACATTATTTTCCACATACTGTACATTATTGTTGCTCCTCTATGCCCCGGCTTTCTGAAATGCGTCGATTTTTACAAAGCTCATCGTTCTGAAAAGCGAGGTGTGCTCTGATTGGCCAACTATCCATTGCATTGTGATTGGTTGAATACCTCAAGCGTGTGACGGAAATGTTACGCCCCTTAACACACTGTGATGCCGTGTCCCGGTGTGACGAGACAAAACCAATAAAACCCATTACAAACGAGGCATTTGTTGCATCCAGTGGGGACATAATTACTGATTATAATGACTTATATTGTCTTTTTACGTGTTGCGTTGCGTATCGCGCCATGTAAACATAAAACCATTTGTCTGCATTTGTGATCTGAGAAACGACAAACAAGCGCTACTCTACACTGCTCAAAACTCACGTTTGAATCATCAGTGGCAAATTCTTTAAATATGGAAACATACTTACAGGTTGTGAGTAAGAACAGCCGGCATTGTAGGTTCAGGAAACAGTCCTCCGTTAAATGCGTTGCACACACACGAATGTTTGGTTTGAACTGTTCTGGAACAGTGTTGTAAATACAACTTAACCACTGATTTCTAGTCGTGTCCTCTTTTGGAAGGCCAAACAAAGTAGTTTCGCTTTCACAACGAAACACACAGCGTCTCCACGACATGGCGGCGGCGGCAGTAACAATACTACAGCGAGAATCACAAGTTATGCCTTCTTTCTTTGCGTAAACATTTGGGCGGTGTTATGCAAATCTTCCCACACAGTGACATAGACGTGGGGGCGTGTTTAAATTAGCCGTTTTAGCAGGGCGTGGATGAGTCTTAACTTTTATAAAGAATATCTCTTTGGGTTTGAGACTTTAGTCTTTGCAACTTTAGGGATCTTATCTATTCACGAACAGCTTGTAACACTCCAAAGAGAAAGGAAAATGTGAAATCGCATCATATGACCCCTTTAAATAATTTCCTAAATACAAGACATATGCACTAAACAGCAACAAACAGTTGTGCCAGTTTGTCCCACGCAATGCCATAAGAAGATCCAGTATGTCAGGAGAGATTTTGTTGGTGTCACATAACCTAAGCTGCAGAAAAGTGCCCTCTGACCCTGCTTTGGGAAAGTCCTACTACCCCGTGTTTGTGTGTAAACAGCTCGCAACATACTCCCCAGCAATACGGCGACAGATGCCAGCTGTAATTCCCCTTACTTTTATGTGTTTCTATGTTAAAAGGTCTTACTTCCCTAGCAGACCCATTATCCACCAAAACATCTGTGCTCTAAACAGCCTGGGTCGCTGACACCACGGCGCGAGTATGGGTGTATTATTACAGTGCATGGTGAGGGGTCTGTCGGCTTGACTGCATATTTTTGTGAGTTGGTGAGGAAATGAGCATGTGTGTGTGTGTGTGTGTGTGTGTGTGTGTGTGTGTGTGTGTGAGTGTGTGTGTCCTAGCACAGTTAACCAACTGGAGGAACAGATGGACTCCCCACTCTCCTTGTTGTGAAGAAACACAGGCTTCACACATACACACACACACCTCTCAAAGCAGCATTTAACTCTAAACGGGATATGCTGACATGTTTATGTGGGCCTATTCATACATTTAATTATAAAACTAAAACAACATTTGTTTCAGAGCGCTCATTATCTGATGCATAGTAAGCATTTTTTTATTAAATATGGAGAAAAGTAAAGTTTTGCCTCAGAGAGATGCTAACTATCTATCCAGGTACTGAAGACTAATATATAATTACATATTTGGAAATATGATACATTTTATTTCATCAGCAATATTGTTTTTATGTTTTTGGAAGCAAATATATCAAATATATTTATATTTTTAAATATTTCTCACCTTGGGTTTCCTTTACAAAAAAAAAAGAATAATAATAATAATAATAATAGTTTTCAGCATTATCTGATAATTATGCAACAGTATAGTTTATTTTGCTTTTCTTTTACAAAAAAAGGCAACAAATAATTTATTAGGTTTTCAGTATTATCTGAAAATTATGCTACTACAATTTAACTTATAAATTAAAAAGTACACTTTTATAGAGATAATGTTACCTTGGTGGTATATTTAAATCAGCAGAATCTGCAACACACAGAAAACGAAAATGCCATAAAATGAAATATTCAAGTTTGTATTACTGAAAGTTAGCTCTCTTGCTAACCGGCTAGCATTATGCCAATGTGGTTCAGAGTTAACCTGCATCATTCAGCTTAAGCATCTCAGTTTGAGTAGGTCATATAAAACGTACAGCAATCAAACCCACAGCCACTCCAGCATCTGTATGCAGAGGCCTGCAAAAGACACACTCGGTAATGCAGTCAGGCCACTGACTGAACAAGTGAGAGAGTAATTGAGTGGGAGCCGGAGAATTAGGAGCTTGACTTTAGCACATGCCAACCCGTGAGCTCAAGCTCATCCTTCTGAGGCCTGCTGGTGGGTGAGAGCAAATGGATTCGGAAGGCTTGTTCTCCAGTGTGTGCTAATGTATGGACTAGGGCGCTATTAAAAGCCACTACTGTGTGATATGCCTGTGCATTTAATTATTTATCTATTCATGTATTCCTCCTCTTTTTAAAGGCTTTTTGTCAGTTCTTGTGTCTAAGCCAGAAGCACAGGCTAGAGGAGGAGTGGGGCTCAAGAGAACAAGATTACAATAAGAGCAACTCTGTTTGATCTTCAGCAGAATAGACCTGCCTCAAATACACACCATCTAAATCCCTTGCGCAACAACAGCATTTCTAGGCCAGAAGTCTCTGGTAGGTGTAACTGATCAAGTACATTCTGCATATGCTTATGGTGCAATGGTAATAATGATAATGGTTCGAGCCAATAGAGTGCTGCAGGGATGACGTATTTTTGTAGGCCAAAACCTTGGAAATTAGTTAGCATTTTAGCACTTTCAGTTCCATCGTCCAGAAGTCAGTAGTTTTTGAATGTGTTTTTAGTTAAGTTCCTTGAATAAGGTCTATGGTTATCACAAGTTCAAGATATTTTCATGTTTTATTTCACCACATAAAATACATCCGTAACACCCCTTGTGAATTTCTAAAGCTTTTACTTGTCTTGAAAAAGGCGACTGCTAACAAGTGGCCAACTTTCTGGGGAATTTTTTTTAAAGAGCTGTCATAGTCATGACCGCATGTAGTTTGTTTATAACCTATGGTTGGCGTTTTACTTCTGGTGATTTTATTCAGGCTTCAAAATTGATAAAAGTTGTGTTTATTTGTGAAGACTATCATGATAAGCAAAATGTGTAAGAATCATAAACTTCTGTTGGTCTGCATTAATCCAGAATCCAATGGAAAAATCCTATTGGGTTTTTGTCGAGGGAACCAGGGCAATGCTAACTTATGGATTGGCCTACAAAATACATCATCACTGCAGCACTTTATTGGGGCAAGTGCTTGGTCAGGCTGATGACATCACAAATGACCACATCTAGGGACTCCACACAGAAACAGATGTGTTTTGGCCAACTTTCCCTATAATCCTAAGCCTTTCTGATCCTCTGACCCCTCCAGAAACCAGGGAAAGTGAGTGGGAGTGAGATGTTCTCTATCTGTTGATATAAACCACACTGCAGTTCTCTTATTCTTCAGCTGAGAGAACCAGGGCAATACTGGTGTGCATAAATAATTTAACATAGCATAAATATTACTCTGTCAGCACTCTAAAGCACCACCACAGGTGCCAGGATTTGTTTTCGTGTTTTTACAGGAAAAAAAATAATGCGACTGTAAAAAAGATTTTGATTTACAACACAGTGCCACTCTCAGCAGTTTCAGCATGACCCCAATGGACAGTAAAAAAAGAAAATCGGAAATAAATAAAGCGGTCATTTAAAGCATTAAAGACTGTCACAACAGCATGCACAATATGTTAGTCTCATTTTTAGATTCTTCACCAATTTCATTCTTTACAAACCCAACAGCTGCAAAAAATACCAGCATAGGGCACCTCCTTGAGGTAAATCTTGACCTTTCATTCACTCTCATGTATGACTCCTACATTTTGAAGCAGTGTTGTCAAGGCCTCATTGTCTGACATTTATAGAAATCGCAGTCATAACAGTCAGAACACAGAATGACTAATATATCATGGCAACAGCCATTAGACCAGTGGTTCTCAATCAGGGTCCAGGCAAAGTTCCAGGGGGGAAGTGTTAGAAGTAATTAAATTTACTTTAAAAAATCTTATTTACATATATCACTCTTAAAATAAAGATATTTTTGAGTTTATTTTATTACAACAGAAGTACTTGAAGTACAACTTAGATAGGAGGACCTTTGAATATTGTGTTGGACAAAGGGGGGCCTTGGAGGCAAAAAGGTTGAAAACCACTGCACTATAATGTCTATCATTTATTTACAACAAACTCCATTATTAACTTACTGCATATAAACTTGACTGAGATGTTTACCTGATGTCGTTCTGCTGAGGTGGTTTTTTGTTTCCGACCAGGTTCACCGTTTTTGCTTGTATGGGTTTCTCCTCTCTAAAGCGAACAAACACATTTTATATAGTGACAGTAAATCTTTTAGAAATCAATCTCAGCTCTTTTGCATTAAAAAGTTTTTTTCTTTAAATAACTTTTTCTAGTATTACCAACCTTCACCAAACATGCATTTTCACAAAATTAAGGTTGAGTTATAAAGACAAAAAATCTCCTTTTGTAAACAATTCTGCAATATTATTTTTAAAGAACAGTTCATCCAAAAATGAAGATTCTGTCTGCAGAACACAAATGAAGATAAATAAAGAAGTACATATTTTATATTCCACAGAAAAAAAGGTTTGGAATGACATAAGGACAAATAAATGATGACAGAATTGTCATTTTTGGGTGAACTATGCCTTTAAGCTAGCACAGTATTGTTGTATTTCTAAATGCCTCAAAAGCGTTGTGAGGTCGACCTCTAGCTTCTGCTTCAGGACAGAAGTTAATTTGAGAGTGAGGAACTGTCCGATTCAAACATCGATCTCCTGACACACAGTAAATGAAAATTAGAGGTTGTTTATCAGCACACTAAGTCAGATTAGTACACAGATTATGTGGTGATCTGTCTCTTCTCTCTTAGAGAAATACTTTGTAAATGAGGCTAAATTCAGTGATCATTTGACCTGTGACCTTTAACTATTCAAAAACAATGTCATTTATTTCTCTTTCAGAAGAGTCTAGTAACAAAAAATGTATATACAAAGACTTAGAAATTAAATAGCTGCATGATTATTTCCTATGAGTAGTATAGCACAAGAAGTGGTTAAGTTATTGATTGTATACCTGCTCAGTGAACCAATTTAAGATGCATAAATCTGATTTCAAATCTCAAGGTGGCCAACAACTAATGTAATATAAGCAATGATGGCTTCTAAATGGCAGGTGGACAGGAAGCCAAGAAACATCGTCACACTCATGATAACAGCACTGATGAACCACAAATAGCCATTCAGAATAAAACTTTACAAACCATCCTACATGTAAACTGCTGACGAGTGCCTGTCATAAAAAGATCTCTTTTTTTTTTTTACCAGTTTTCATTTGAAGAATTTGGTGCTTGTTGTAATAAGTTTTTTTTTACTGTAAAGCTATT